CCCTCCACCCCTCTCCCTCCTCTGCCCCTCCCCAAGGATAACCACTTTCACCTCTTTTAGCAGATTATTTCAGTACTTACTTTTATATTTCTATAAAACCAGCTTGATTGCTACTTCTTGATTTTTCAGTTTAAGCATTATACACAAACTTTTCACTACAGAAGAAGAGAATTTATTTTTCTTTCTACATACACTCACTTCCCCCAACCAAACCCACATAACCGCTCCGGGCCCTCTCCTCCCAATAAAGTTACATCATAACTATCAAACTTAACTATTATATTTATGAAAATACTAAGTGTTACTTTTCTTTCTTCCACAACTTTTTATTTTCACTGGAATTAATAACTGTCTTGTTTTAATTTGCTTGGCTTTTCTGTATATATTCTGTATATTAATCCATCCCAAATTTTCCATCAGCTGTCTAAAACTGTGGTTCTCTGGTCTGTGGACTCCTGGGGCTCCATGAGACCCTTTCAGGGATCCATGGCGTCAGACTATTTCCATAATAATGATAAGGCATTATCTGCCCTTTTCCAAGTGTTGACATTTGCACTCATAGTACAAAAGCAGTGGAGGAGAAAACAGCTGGTACCTTGGCATGAATCAGGCAATGGCAACAAATGGTACCCTGGTCAGGGTACTCTTCACCACCTCACACTTACGGGAAAAAAAGCTAGTTCACTTCAGAATGTTCTTGATGAAGCAGTGAAAGTTATTAATTTTATTAAGCCTCAGTCTTTGAGTACTTGTCTTTCCCACTTATGCCGTATGCTGAAGTATGATGGTTGTCTTGAGGAAAAGCATTTATATAATTTTCAGTTGTGAGCTGAACTAATTGCTTTTTTCACAGAACACCATTTTTACTTGAAGGAACAACTGACACACAAACTATGGTTATTTGGCACTTCAAGGAAAACAGCTGACATTATGTACTGCCAATGATAAAATTTGAGCTTTCATAAAGATTAGAGTTTTCGAAATTTTGTATCTAACACGATACACATATTTCCTAATACTTAAAGGCTTGTCTAAGATCGGTAGTGATATTAACAAATGTGATTTTTGATATCATATAATGAAAGGTGTCCACATTTAGAAGATCAGCATAATGAGCCAATATTTTCTAAAGGACCTAAATTTCTAAATGCATGATAAAAAATCAAGCATAGGTAAAGATCCATTCAAAGTGTAAGGCAGACCAACAGATTTTAATGTAACCTGGTAAAAAAGTTCAATCCATATTGTTTTAGTCTGCTCAGGCTGCCATAACAGAATACCACAGACTGGGGGCTTAAACAACAGATAGTTACTTATCCCAGTTTTGGAGGCTGGGAAGTCCAAGATCAAGGTACCAGCCAACTTGGTTCCTGGTGAGGGATCTCTTCCTGGCTTGCGGATGGTAGCCTTCTCACTGTGTCCTCACATGGCAGGGAGAGAGCATAAGCTCTCTGGTCTCTTCTCATAAGGATATTAATCCTATCAGATCAGGGCCCCACTCTTATGACCTCACAGAACCTCAATTATCTCCTGATAGGCCCTACCTCCAAAAATAGTCACCTTGGGGGTTAGGGCTTCAGCATATGAAATTCGGGGAGGGAACACAATCCAGTCGACAGCAGATATGGTTTCAGATTCTAGATTGCAACTAAGAAACTACTGTCAAATTCTGGTGTAGTACAAAGCGGAATACCCACAATTATCTGAAAAAGCTACTAAAATACTCCTTTTTTTTCCCAACTATCTATCTGCCTGAAGCTGGATTTTCTTCACATACTTCAATCAAAATAACTTATCCCAACCGACTGAATACAGAAGCACATATGAGAACCCAGTTTAATGTCTTCTCTAAGACACACGTGAAAAAGATTTACAAAAATGTAGAGCAAGCTTCTCTAAGTTTGTTCTAGAAAATAGCTGTTTTTCATAAAATGTCAACATATCATGAATTGGGTTTATTTTTATTATTTTAATTGACATAAGCAAATGTTTAAAATTTTCATTGGTTTCAATTTCTAATAGGGAAACAGTGTAATCTACATAAACAAAGGCTCCTTGAGGTTCCCAATAATTTTTTAGTGTAACAGGTCCTGAGATGAAACAGTTTGATAACTGCTAGTCTAAAGAATCTCTCAAAAAATTCAGACACATAGATATTTTCACTGTTTCATTTCTCCTCATGCCTTCTGACCTGCTCCAATCTGGATCAGCTGTCTTCTATATCTGTGTAGCTCTAGTCTCCTATGAACTTTCTTCACCATCATCCAGGTCAGGTGTCAGCAAATTATGGCCTGTAGGCCAAATCCAGCCTGTCTCCTGTTTTTAAGTAAAGTTTTACTGGAACACAGGCGTGCTCATTCATTTATGTTCTTTCATGCTACAATGGTAGAGTTGAGTAGTTGTGACAGAGATCCAATGGCCTATAAAGTCGAAAATATTTATTACCTGGTTCTTTAAAGGAAAAGTTTGCTGACTTGTGATCTACAGGATTCTTTCACTTCTTCCCTATGTTGGTGCATCTGCTTCCTGAATACTATATCTGATTTACTCTTTTCGGTAAAGCACATCTGGTAGCTTCCTGAGAAAGGGTATATGAGAGGTCCATTTTTTTGAGACCTTGCATGTCTGAAAATGGCTTTTCCTACTCACATTTTACTGATAGCTTAGCTGGGTACAGAATTTTAGCATAGAAATCACAATCTTCCCAAAATTAGAAAGCTTTCCTTCATTGTCATCTAGCTTCTAGGGTTATGACAGAAAAGTCTTAAATTATTCTGAGTTCTGCCCAACTGTATGTGATTCTTTTGTTTTTCCTTCAGGAGCCTATACGGTGTTTTCTTTGTCCTCAGTGTTGTGAAATTTTACAACGATGTGGTTTGGAGATGACAGGCCTCCACTACCATGCTGGGCAGTGGGCTCTTTCAATCTGGAAAGTCACATCCTTCATTAAGGGGCAGTTCCTTGAATTATCTTGTTGATCACTTCTTCCTCTGTTTTTTTTTTTTTGTTCTCTATTTCTGGAATGATCATCGAACAGATGTTGGTTGGATATCTTGGACTGGTCCTCTAATTTTATCTTTTCTCTTTCCGGACTAATTCCTCAACATTCTCTTCCAACCAGAATCTTGAGTCTTCTTCATTTCTTCTATCATGTTTTTAATTTCCAAGAGCTCTTTTTTCCCCTCTGAATGTTTCCTTTTAAAAATATCTAGATCTTGTGATATAGATACTTTCTTTTAAAAATAAATTCTCTGAGGATATAAATGATAGTTTCTTTCCCCTGTATAGTTGGCTCCGTCCTCGCTGCTTTTTTCTGTGTGTTTGTTTTGGTTTCCCTACTTCATGTTAGAGGCTTTCCTCCTGGGTGTCTCTTCATACACAAACATGAAATACTAAAAAGTTGATTTCAGTGAAACCCTTAAAAGCTCTGCTTGTGTGGGTGGAGCTTATTGTCCGTGAGCTTTACTGTAGGGAGGCACAGCTGGGCTGCTGGGTGGGAGACCCTTGAGGTTACTATCTTTAAGTCTTCTTCCCTACTCAGATTCCTCAGAGAAAGATTTTTCCACCTCCTGACTCTAGGCTTGCCTACTAGAATCCTGAGGTTGGTGGGAAAAGCAAGCTGGGCCTCAACATTCAGTATGCCAGCATTCACTCAACCTCCCCTGAGGGACCACTACCATCAAGTATGTTTGGTGTCCCCCAGTTCAGACATCCTTTACTTCATCCTGTCCAGAGAATAAATTTTTGGTCTAAGTTATGGGAGGGGCAATCTTTTTAAATAAACTTTCAACCAAAATACAGTTAATCTCCTCTTCACACACCTCTTCCCCACCTTACAGTTAACTGGTGTTGTCAATTTCTGAATTTCTTTAGGGTTCTGCTGTGTAAACTCGGTTGTTCCTTGGCTTTCTCTATTCTTGGCTCAGGATTCAGCTTTCTCAGGACTGCTAAGTCAGTTACCACTCATCCATCTGCTCCTCAGCTTCCAAAATTTTGTTGCTGTTGTCTCCTATCCCATTCTCTTTGTCCTTGTGGGTTTATGTCTTTAAAAAAAATCTCTTTACTGTTGTTTTAGTGAGGTTTTGGGAGGGAATGAAAGTAAATGTGGGTATTTGATCCTCCATCTTTATTTGGAACCTCTTTATAATTAAATATCTTTTTTTTTAACTTCCATTTAATATTACAGCATAAACATTTCCCATGTTCTTACATGGTCATTGTCATAGCTTTAGTAATTGCATAATATTCCATTGAGTCGGTACCATAGCTTACTTAATCATTACCCTATTTTTGGATCTTTAGATTTGTTTCTGTTTTGGAGGGAGGGGACTAGTTTTTTCTAGAGTCATCTTTCATTTATCTGTCTCATTTATTCCCTATATTTAGGGAATGCCTGACATTCTTCTCCTCTCTGTTCTCAGTACATGATTTTACCACCTTGTGCTTTGATTATGGCATTACCTTGGACAAATTTAATTCATCTTCAAAGTGCCAGGTCGTCCTGCACAATGAGGCAGTACTAACTTTCTAGACTGTCACCTTTCTCATGACTCATGACACGTCAGAGGAACCATTAACTTGGGACTGGCATGTGAGGCTCGCCATCTCCCCCACTCAGCACCCTTCCCACAGATCCTCCTGAATTCACAGGGCCGCTCTCCCGACTGCAGCACAGGCTGCTCCTCCTGCCACTGCCCATGCACATTCACCTTCACTTACACCCTACCTCCTGACCAAGCCTCCCCCACATGACTCTGCTTACGTACCTTCTTCCTTCACCTGATAACAGATAAAAATCAAGTAACTGCTTTCTAACCGCTTAGGGTCAGTCTTGCCTTCTAAATGGACTGACAGCTTTTCACAGGCAGGGGCTCTTCTATGGCAGCTGCCCCTACAGCGTCCTCACCCTACCACCATGGGACTCCAACTCAGCACCAGGCACATAGTAGGTGCTTAACAGGGACTCAATGAAAGGAATGGACACGGATGTAAGTTGTTACCTTGCCCTTTGGAGTTAGTGTCCAGATCACGGAGAAGGTCAGCTTGTCAGTCATAGGATTGAGGCTGCACAACTCCTCACACAGCAGCCTGGGAAGCATGGGGATGACCTGCAAACAGAGAACAGGCCCATGAGCATCTTTCTCCAATCTGTAGGAGTTTATCACAGGCTTAGAAGCAGCCCAGAGGGCAGAGTTCTGGTGAACAGCTTGAGCTTCAAGAGCAAGCTGAAGATGGATGCCGCTCTTTTTCTTGAAGACTCTGCAGAAAGACTACACTATCTGCTACTTTTCTATGGGCCTCTATAGTCAAATGTGAATGTGAACTGGAAACATTCCTTTCCCCTATCCTTTCCCTATTGTGTGTTCTTGGCACCCTTATCAAAAATCAGTTGACCATATATACGTGGGTTTATTTCTAAGCTGTCCATTCTGTTCCATTGGTCTATGTGTCTGTTTCTATGCTAGTATGTACTATTTTTGCCAGCCCTGGTGGTCTAGTGCTTAAGATTCAGTGCTCTCACTGCCACAGCCCAGGTTTGTTTCCTGGCCAAGGAACCACACATCTGTCACTTGTCATACTGTGGTAGCTGCGTGTTGCTGTGATGCCAGAAGCTGTGCCACCAGTATTTCAAACACCAGCAGGGTCACCCATGGTGGACAGGTTTCAGCGGAGCTTCCAGACTAAGACAGACTAGGAAAGAGGACCTGGCCCCCCACTTCTGAAAAAACTGGCCATGAAAATCCTACAAATAGCATCAGAGTGTTGTCTGATATAGTGATGGAAGGTGAGAAGATGGCACAAAAAGAGCAGGCAGTGTTCCACTCTGCTGTCCACAGGGTCACTAGGAGTTGGAATTGACTTGATGGCACTAACAAACCATACTGGTTTGATTATTACAGCTTTGTAATACAGTTTGAAATCAGAAGTGTGGCGCCTCCAGCTTTGTTCTTTCTCAAGATTGCTTTGGCTATTCAGGGTCTTCTGTGGTTCCATATGAATTTTAGGATAGTTTTTTCTATTTTTGTGAAAAATGCTACTGGAATTTTGATAGGGATTACACTGAATCTGTAGATCATTTTGGATAGTATGGACATTTTAATAATATTAATTCTTCCAATCCAAGAAGACAGGCTATCATTCCACTTATTTGCGTCTTCATCAATTTCTTTCATCATTGTCTTACAGTTTTCAGTGTACAGGTCTTTAACCTCCTTGGTTAAATTTATTTCTAAGTATTTTATAGCTTTTCATGCTACTGTAAGTGGGACTGCTTTCTTAGTGTCTATATCACCTCACGTGTTAGGATGGATATTATCAAAAAGACAAGAGATAACAAATGTTGGCAAGGATGCAGAGAAAAGGGAACCCTTGTACACTGTTGGGGGAATGTAAATTGGTACAGCCACGATGGAAAACATGGAATTTCCTAAAAAAATTAAAAACAGAACTACCATATGATCCAGCAATCCCACTTCTGAGTATTTATCTGAAGGAAATGGAATCAGTACTTTGAAGAGATATCTGCATTCTCATGCTCATTGTAGCATTATTCATAATAGCCAAGACATGGAAACAACCTAAGAGTCCATCAATGGTTGAATGGATAAATAAAATGTGTATATATATATATATATATATATATATACACACACACACACATAAATGGAATATTATTCATCCATAAAAAGAAATTCTGCCATTTGTGACAACATGGATGAACCTGGAGGGCATTATGCTAAGTGAAATAAGCCAGACAGAGAAACACAAATACTGTATGGTACCACTTATACATGGAATCTTAAAAGAAAAAAAAGCTGATTTTACAGAAACAGAGTAGAATGGAGATAGCCAGGGGCTGCGGGGAGGGGGAAATGGGGACATGTAGGTCAAAGGGTACATAGTCAGTTATAAGATGAATAAGTTCTGAGGATCTAAGGTACAGCATAGTGACTATAGTTAATAATAGGGTATTATATACTTGAAATTTGATGAGAGCAAATCTTAAGCATTCTCACCACACACACAAAAAGAATTAACTATGTGAGGTGATGGACGTGTTAATTATCTTGATCTTGGCAATCATTTCACATTGTATATGTTCACCAAATCATCACATTGTACACTTTAAATATATTCAATTATATTTGTCAATGATTCCTCAATAAAGCTAGGGAAAATAAAAGAACCCAAAGGCTGAGTGTAAACTTGTGACAGAGTTTCATCAAAGTAAAATTGCTGAATCAATGCTTTAGTAATTGAAACTACCACAAATGACTAAATCACATGTTGGAACATTAACAGAATACTCCAATAAAATATCACTGAAAGGTTCATAAATCCAGGTTCCCCAGATGAACACTGTGGTCAACTAGTCATTCATTCTGCAATTTTTAAGCCTAAATTATTTCTTCCCTTTATTGATCTTTCTATCCCATAATAAACTGATTCAATGGCACACCTTCTTTAATTAAAAAAAGGTTCTCGGGGCCAGCCCCGTGGCCTAGTGGTTAAGTTCAGTGTGTTCCGCTTCACTGGCCTGGGTTCAGATCCTGGGTGTGGACCTACACCACTCAGCAGCCATGCTGTGGCAGTGACCCACATACACAACAGACGAAGACTGGAACAGATGTTAGCTCAGAGCAAATCTTTCTCAGCAAAAAAAAAAGTTCTCTTCAACTTACTTTCAAATGATGATTTACAGCTATCTCAGAAAGTTACTTATTTTCTCTAAAATTCCAAAGATGAAATGAGTATCTCCACCTGGATTTCCCAAAGCTACTTCAAAGTCTCTCCCTCCCTCCTTTAAATCTACTCTTTCTCTCACATTTTTCTTGATTAACGGCAGTATCATTCACTCCACCACCCAGGTGAAAAACGCAGCACTAACAGCCACTTATTCAATACACTTACTGTGGACCTACTCCATCTGCAGTGTTAAGCATGGGTAACACTGTAACCCTGTGTTAAGTAGTTGAGAAGTAAAACACACGAGGGGCAACTATGTTCCAGTTGAGGGAAAGTTAACTAGTTAAGCTTCTCTATCAGCAGAAGCAAAACAAACCCCAGTGGTTTCCAATTCTGTGTGAACCATCAGCACAGTAAATAAGCTTTGGTATGGAAAAGTAAATTCTAGAACTCATGGCCCACACCAATAACAAATAAAGTAACTGAACAGCATTACCTGGCAGGGTTCTGAAGGATGCCTTGTCTTTTTAACACCAATATGAAACCTAATGACCACCTGAAAACTTCTGATAACAGCTTTTATGAGACAATCACTTCTGAAATTTCTTTCTTGCCATTGCTTTTGCACCATCTGTTCAGATGACACTGTATTTTCACTGTTAACTTATTTAACGAATATTAAAACGTGATCTAAATATTTAACATTTTCTTGCATGTATCAAGTGTTTTACAAAACAAAACATTTTTACCGGCATAAACACATTGTACAAAATGGGGAAAATTTCAATACCATACTGTCTCATGATTGAATTGTAAAGACTTCATGTAATTTCAGCCTTTGGACTATGCTATGGACTGAACTGCGTCCCCCACCAATTCCCATGTTGAAGCCCTAACCCTCAATGTGATTGTATTTGGAAGTGGGGTCTTTAGGAGGTAATTAAGGTTAAATGAGGTCATAGAGTGGGGCTCTGATCTGATAGAAAGAGAGGTAACTCCCCCTCCCTGCCCTGCACACACACAGAAAAAAGGTCATGTGAGGACACAGCTGTCTACAAGCCAGGAAGAGAGTCCTCAGCTAGGAACCGAACTGGCCAGCACCTCCATCTGGGACTTCCAGCCTGCAGAACTGTGAGAAAATAAATGTCTGTTGTTTAAGACCCCAGTCTATAGTATATTGTATGACAGCCCAAGCTGAGTAAGACAGACTAAATGGAGTTTATTGGGAGTGCATTCTTGGATTCTTCTCTGGGCTGCATTATCAGATAATCATACCCACAGTACTTTGGTAGCAGGCTGCTCACCCTGCATGCTTGTAGTCAAGGGCTTAATATCTTTTCTACAGATAGCATTTCTTCTAAGTGTTCAAGGCATATCTTATTTTGAATCACAAAGCAGAGTATCTGAGAATGTAACATAATTCTTGACTTCACGTTTCCGTGTTTGTCAAAAGAAAGTCATTGTAACTAAATACAATGTGGTACCCTGGACTGGACCCTAGAACAGAAAGACAGGAGTGCAAAAACTGGCAAAATCCAAATAAAGTATGGATTTTAGTTAATAGTAATGTTTCACTGTCAGCTTCTTAGTCATGACAAATGTACCACAGTGATGTAAGATGTTAACAACGGGGGAATTGGTGTGGTATATGGGACCTCTCTGTACTGTCTTTGCAACTTTTCTGTAAATCTAAAATTATCCACAAATAAAAGAGCTTATTTATGCTAATGAAATACAACTTGATCTGTTTTTATATATTGGAATTTAAGGTTAAGATTTTATTTGCAAAAATGCCTTTACCACTAAAAAAAATGCCTAAAGGCCATTAAACAACAGAGTGAAGTCCAGGCTCATCAGCAGCACAATGCAGGAAAAAGAGCAAAGGCTTTGAAGCCAGACAGACTTGGGGTCTAATCCTGGGCCCACCACTCCCTGTACTATTTGGGCAAGCTAGTATGATTCTCTGAGTCTCTGTTTTCTCATTAGTAAAACGATTTGAAGACGCTCAAGAAAAGTCAGCTCACTGGCCACCCCACGGTCTACCACGTCCTTTGGTCACCTGGCTCAGCCTTCCCCGTCAGCCTTTGCCCTGGCACTTCCCTTCCACACCGTAACCAAGCCACGTGGACCTGCTCACTGCACACCTTTGCCCTGCCAGGCCTGCTTGCCACTCCAGCTCTTGCACATGTTGTTCCCTCTTTCTGGAACACCTTTCTGGACGTTTTGCATCTGGCCAACTTTTGCACATCCTTTAAGATTCAGCTCACCATCATCTCTAAAAGGCTTTTCCAGATTCCCCCGGGGAAGTCCGTATTGTGTTTTGTATACTTCTCCCTCCCACCCACCCGTTCTTTCAAAAAGGATTTGAGGTAGTCCTAAACAATCACTTACTCCATCCTCCCTGCTCTTTCACGACATTTCT